TGTCACGTGATAATTATCCAATTAAACGAGACTTACCTGTAAGTTGAAGTTTGATTTGGATTCTATCTTGTCATCAGTCCGGAACGAAGGAGTAACATGAGAAGCACGCGCGCTTGCTTCGAGCCATATTTTAAAGTACTGCCCGCTCTCACTCGGATGAGGAACGAAGGAGTAGGGRGGGACCGAATGCAAAAGCATAGGGTGGGCATGTTACTCCTTCGTTCCGGACTGATGACAAGATAGAATCCAAATCAAACTTCAACTTACAGGTAAGTCTCGTTTAATTGGATAATTCTATCTCGTCATCAGTCCTACGTCACTACGGAGTAACATGAGATTTCAAAGACATGCGAGTGAGAGCGTGGCTATCTCAAGGTCCACTATCACTGTGCACGAGTAGACACATGTGCAATCGGTGAAAACAGTTTATTAAGACAATGAAATACATGATGGTATAAGATGAAAAATGAGTTTCATATATATTTAATTATGCATTTTCTGTTTGATTATTATTGGTAAAGGTTTGGAGAATATGATTCCCGAAATTAGTGTCTATAGGTTTATTGTAGTGCTTGGCAAATGTTTGGGCTCGAGACCAGCCGCCAGCCTTCAATATGTCTTGGATATTAAGCCCTGAAGATAGACCATAGGATGACGAAGCAGTCCTGCTACTATGAGCTGAGAATCTTTCAACATCGATGCCGGCGTCCATGAGCGAAGTCTTAATCCATCGGCCAATGGTCTCTGGGGTGACTGCGYTGAATGGTTTTACGTAACTTATAAACAATTTTGAACTATTACGGCGTTGTTGAGTTAGGGTAATATAGTGATTAATGTGCATCACTGGACAAAGCCTAGGTTCTTGTGGATAKGCAATTATCTCAATAGGTTTCAGATGTGTGCCCGGTCGTGTTGTTTTAAGTTTATCCGGYAACGTGAAACTTAATTTGTCATGGAGGGATTGCGTGAAATTTAAATCTATTGCTGCTAAAGTCTGACATCGTTGAGTTGTTATGATTGCAATAAGGGTTACTAATTTGAGCGTGAGCTGTTTTGGGGTTAATTCCGGTAAGGGAGGTAAAGACAAGAAATAATCCAGAACTGTGCCTACATCCCATACTATCGTGTAACGTGGGAGGGACGGCTTAAGTTCGAATATCCCTTTTAAAAACCGGGTAACCAATGGGTGCTCCCCGAAAGTGGTTTTCTCTCCCAATGAAATTACGGATGACAGTGCAGAACGAGCTGTGTTAATGGCGCTGTAACCTAACCCTTGCTTATAGAGTGTGGTTAGAAAATCAAGACCGGTATGAATGGAAGCATTTGCTAGATTAATTTGGTGTTCCTGACAATAATCTACCCAACGTTTTAAGTAAGTATTGTATTGTTTTGAGGTAGATGATCGCCAAGAAGCCATGATAACCTGGACGGTATCGTGTGACAGTCCTGTCGAGTTTAACTGTTGTTTGATAATAGGCATATCATTAGCTTGAGTGAGTTGTGCAGCGGRTGAAGGTCTTGCGGTCGACCTGGGATGGTCAACAGCTTTTTGTCCGGGGTTAGGCGGATTGGAGGCCTCAAGCACATTCTTATTGCCTGAGGATACCAGGATTGAGTCGGCCAGTCCGGGAGTACAACCACTCCTGTGGCCTTTTGTTCCCGTATCTGCTGTAAAAATCTGCTTATCACACTGAAAGGAGGGAAAGCATAAAATTTTATATCAGTAATDTTCATCGACAATGCATCAATTGCGATAGCCCCAGGGTCTGGTCTATATRAAACATATTTATCAAAATGTGCGTTAACACGAGACGCAAATAGGTCGACATCGGGCCGGAAATTAAGTTGTGCAAGTGCTGATGCGATAACATCTCTGTCAATCATCCATTCAGTGTTAATGTTGGTTCYACGCGATTCCGCGTCTGCAATCACGTTATCGACACCCGGAATGTGCACAGCGCTGATCCATATACTGCGAGATTTACACCATTCCCAGATAGACTTGGAGAGATTATTACAATCAAGAGAATGGCTAGTTCCCATGTGGTTTAGAGCTGCTATTGCGGTAGTGTTATCTATCCGTAATCGGATATGTGTATTTTTGGTTGATTTGAAGAAACACTGCAGCCCCAGAAATACCGCAAGGAGTTCGAGATAATTTATATGGTAGCGTTTTTCCCCTGTTGACCATATTMCGCCCGTGCTGTCGTCACCATAAACTGCCCCCCACCCTGTTCTCGATGCATCAGTCGTAAGGGTGTGAGAGGGTAAGTCGTGAGTGATAACGTTTAAAGATGTGATCACGTTATCAGTCCACCATGTTAACTCGGTTTTTGCAGAAATTGATAATGACATCATCTTATCGAAATTTCCACAATTAGRCTTAAGCGCCACCGTTTTGTCGCGTTCTAGGGAYCGGAAGTAAAGTGCCCCATACATCACCCCTGGGAGCGAGGATATAATTTTCCCTATAACTCGGGCGAGCTCCCTGATAGTATGTCTTTCTTGTTTAAGGAGCTTCTCGCAATCTAGTTTGAGCGCGGTGGCCTTTTCGTTAGTAAGTCTAATTGTCATATCAGCCGAGTTAATTATAAACCCCAATAAGACTATCTGCTGGGAAGGAACGAAAACTGATTTGTCCGGATGGATAATGAAACCCAGCTTGTCAAACAAAATAAATGTGTCAAGAACGTTCCGAACACATTGATCGTATGTCTGTCCCTGGAGGTATAGGTCATCAATATAACTAGCTATAATATAACCTAGATTGTGTAATGTCGCTAAAGGTGGTTTTAAAAGCTTTGTAAACACCCTTGGGCATGAAGATAAGCCATTCGGTAAACAAGTATATCTATAGAATTCATCTAACCACCGGAAACCTAGGTATCTGCGATGTGACGGTCTTACCGATACAGAGTAATATGCATCTTTGAGGTCARGGGATGCCATGTAACAATTCTTTTCTACCAACTTTAAGATGGACTGTAGGGAGTCCATTTTAAAGTGGTGATATGTAACAAACTGATTTAGACCCTGAAGGTTTAATATCATCCTGTGACTCCCGTCTTTTTTAGGTCTTGTGAAGACGTTAGATAGGATTGTACAATCACTAAATGTAGTTTTTTCGATTATTCCCTTATCTAATAATTTGGACACTTCAGATTGAATAATAGCAGTCTCCTCTGGGGAAAACGATGAGTGATATCTGAATGCCACGTGTGGAACTGAGTCAAATTCAATTGAGATTCCCTTTACAGTTGATAATATTTCTGAGTCAGAAGTTATAGCCTTCCATTCATTGATGGCTGYTCTAACGTTGCCTGCTTTAAAGCGGCCGCATCTRGTCGTTAAATATTCTCGTATGCTATTTATGATATCAGGAAATTTACTTACCGAATTTTTTATTTCCACGAGTGCTTTGATCATTTCTTCGYTTGTTTTGGTTTGTGGTAAGGCTTCTTGCCTTTCCCTAAAAAATGATYCTTACCCTGATAGCRGGCTTTCTTACCCTTAGAACCGTCATGGTGACGGTACGTATTGTAACCACCATAGCTGGTACCCGAGGATCCATGATGGCGGTGTCCGGTAGAATTGGCGCCAATTTTCTTGCTAATGTTGTTGGTTTCTTTGGCGTCCCGRACTTTCTTTGGAAGGTCGTCCCCAAARAGAAGTTTTGAGGCTTCTGGGACCTCAGTCTCCTTGTTACACAAGGAGGCATACTCCGGTTTCAGAGTAGGTTTTATCCTTTCGCGCCGTAGGGCAGAGATATCACCCACAGCATGACCTAAAAGGACAATGGCGTCGATGTTTTGGGACAACATCGTTTTGCTTGTTTCTTTTTTGTCGCCGACAAGGTAATCGGAAGACCTTAACAGAGCAAATGTTGCTTTCTGTAAAGCCTGCTGGACATTTTTGAGGCGGAGATCCGCTCGACGCTGGTGATTTGCCAGGGGATCCCATATTTCAAGGTTAACCTTTGGAACATGAAGCTCAACGTTTTCAGGTTGAGAGTGTTTGGCTAACGTGGGCTTGAGTTTTTCCGCTGTAAGCGAAACTCCCCACCGTTTCCTAGCAATGTTTGCCAGG